CAAATAATTTAGTGATTGGACTTGTCATTTTCATAGCATAGATTTATAGCCCCACAATAAAGAAATGGTGCTGAAATTAGAACAACCTTCTAATTTGTTGTTGTGACTGAAAAATTGGAAGAGCATTTGCTAAAGATCCTCAACTTAATGTTCATGGACTTTGATTAAGAGGCACATGAATAATTACATCCTGAGAATAACTCATGAGTACTTTCGAGCCCCTGATTTGATTCCCTGTTACTGCCCCATTTTTGAAGTTTCAGTGTCTGTAACTGTAGAGTAGCACCGTCTAATGGAACTTTCTGCAGTGATGGAGATGTTCTATATCTGTGTTGTCCAATATGGTGGCCACCACCTACATATGACAAGTAAATTCTTGAAATCAAGATTTAAAAGAATCAATTAGATTTAGCAATTGAGAGGACATTCTTAACATTTGACAGAGAAGTTCTGTGGAGTTGATGAAGGAGAACATCTTATTCTGGTGAGTTGAGGAGTAAAATTGGAGACGAAAAAGTGGGACAGGCACGTATTGGGCAGGAGAGGAAACTGAGAGTGCAGTGTAGTAGACGACTAAACAAAAGATGGACATGATGAAGCTCTGCCCCCCAACCGTTGACCTATCAGTTATGTGAAAAAAAAATGATGGAGGAGGAAGAAAGCTAGAGTTGTGTTCAGTTTTTATTAAGAAAAACGAGCAGTGGCTCACACCTGTAATCCCAGCACTTTGGGAGGCTGAGGCAGGTGGATCACCTAAGGTCAGGAGTTTGAGACCAGCCTGGCCAATATGATGAAACCTCATCTCTACTAAAAATACAAAAATTGGTCGGGCATGATGATGGGCTTCTGTAATCACAGCTACTCAGGAGGCTGAGGCATGAGAATCGCTTGAACCCAGGGGACAGAGGATGCAGTGAGCCGAGATCATGCAATTGCACTCCAGCCTGGGCAACAAGAGTAAAATTCCGTCTCAAAAAGAAAAAAGAAAAAGAAAAAGAAAAATTTTAAGCTGAGGTTTACTAACATTTCGTAAAGGCAAGCCACAAAGTGAGAATTAATTTCAGCTCCCTAGGAAGAATGGGAATGTTTATTATCCTTGATGGCACAACTGTCACCCAGATGCCAAAGAAATGGTTAGTTATAAGGTTTGAAACATTTGGTTTTTCCCTAAAAAGCAATAAGAATCCATACTACTGCAAAAATAAGTTATTCTGTAATTTCTTTTAATAAGAAATTTTATAAGTCCATCATACCAAGATTGATTTGTCAAAAAAATACATTCCTGAATTTCTCTTTAATCACTTCTTAAAGCTAATTTTAGATTACAGATTCTGAAATACTGAAATGTAATTTCAAAATATACAATCTATGTTTATATATAATGATAGCAACAAAAGTCAAACATGACTGAAATCATAGCATTTTGAAACTGAATGCATATTCATTAAACTGCTTCATTTGATGGATGAGGACCAGGAAGCCTACAAAGAATATATGACTTAGCCAAGTTTGCCCCGCCATGATCCAAACCCAGTTCAGCAGACTCCAAGTCCCCTATTGTTTGGACAAAAGGCTGGCTGAATGATGTACTAGAATATTTTTGGCATCCCTATGTATTATAGAAAAAGATAAAATAGAAAATTTCTAACAGCATGCCTCACTGGGGACAGTAAATCCTTTCCTTTCCATTTCCCAATTAGTACCATTTCCCCTTTGACACATTTTCACTATTTTTCTTATGCTTCCCATAATTTTGGTTCATTTTTTAAAAGTGTTTGGTAATTAACCTATATGCTAGGAAATTTGACTCAAAAAGAAGATGTTCTTATGTACTTAACACCTTCTTTAAAAATATCTAACTTCCTTACAATTCTTCAAAAGGACTCCTCTCTTATGAAGATACAGAAAATAGTATGTTGGAGGTGTAGAGGAAGAACAGTGGTCTTTAAGGATTTAATTTTCCAAATATTTTCAGTATTCAAACACTGAAATTCAGTTGTCAGGATTACGTAGAGATAGTAACTATGCACACTATGGGATATTCATATGCTTTCTGTTTATGCAAAGAAACCAGGTCCTCTATTCTACATGGGCTGAAGTTGTAGGTTGGTAAGTTAGGACCTGGAAAACCTGGTAATGTTCTAACACAAAGATGGCCAAAGATTTTTTTCTTAAGGGCCAGGTAACTCCTCAAAGAGTAAAAGTCAGAATGGTGTCACATATCTCATTCATGCCATACTAGTCCGTTTCTGGAAATAATAATGCTTTCTCAAAATGAAGTCATTTGTATTCTCAGCCATGCTCTGTTGTGTGCACTGAGTAATTTCTTGAGAGCAATATTTCCTATGGCATGTTGCCAAGACTGGCTTTATTTGTTTTTCATTAGGCTTTTCATTATCATGCTGCTGAATACCTGGATCATTCCGCTTCCTCTGAGATGGCTGGCGTTGCTTATGCATAGGAATGACTCTATGAATAGGTGGAAAGCTTTTGTCCAGTGAATGCCCATTTTAAATCCCTAGCTGGGGTGCCATTCCAATGCCTTTAATCCTTCTAAGAACAGCCAGTTATCCATTTATAATGCAGTCTGATATTATTGTTTACATCCATCTATTCTGTCCCTGTCCAGGGAAAGACATTAGTCTCACTTTGTACCCCACTAGGGCTGTCTCTCCTCCTTTATTATGGCAGGAAAAGGCATCAACTTCCATTCACTGCCCCAGCCTTGAATCAGTGTGTATTCCACATTTCTCCCTCATTCCGCATGTTCAATCTCCAAGTCAAACTCCTGATAGTTTTCAAATCCACCTGCTTCTTTTTGCTCCTGTACCCACTACCTTAGTCTATACCCACATGGTCGCTAGAGAACAACCGCAGTGGTCTCCATGCCCCAGAATCACCCTTTCCAACTCAGTCTCCTTTGCTTTGAGTGTCTAATGGTACTCATCACTCTAAATAAATAGATATTCTGTCATTTCTATTCTTTAATTTTTGTGTTACACATAAGTAGGACAGTTTGATTTGTGAAAAAGGTGATCTGAATACTTGAACGTCTATAGATGCCTTGATTTAAAAAGAAACTCTATCTTACAAACCCTGAAAGTTTAAAATCAAGTGATAAAATGAGCAATCTGTAAACTTCTGCATTCAAATATTAATCAGAGGTTTAAAATAACCATTTAAATCTGAGAATTTTAGGACTGAACTGGTCCTTGAACATTGTAGGCTCAACTTTATCATTTTATAGGTAGGGAAACTGAGGCCAAGCCACAGAAATCAAAATAATCTTTCTAAATTTGGAATCTCAGCATGTAACTCTTTTTTCCCCCATTTATTTATTTTATTGGATTTTAGGTTTTGGGGTACATGTGAAGAACATGCAAAATTGTTGCATAGGTACACATGTGGCAGTGTGATTTGCTGCCTTCCTCCCCATCACCTACATCTGGCATTTCTCCCCTTGCTATCTCTCCCCAGCTCCACACCCCTCATCGTCCCTCCCCTATTTCCCCCCAACTGACCCCGGTGTGTAGTGCTCCCCTCCCTGTGTCCATGTGTTCTCATTGTTCAACACCCGCCTATGAGTGAGAACATGCGGTGTTTGATCTTCTGCTCTTCTGTCAGTTTCTTTTGCTTAAAACCTGTCCTCGGCTTCCCATTATGGTCAGGATGAAGTCTGAAGCCCTCAGCATGGCATGCAATATCTGTATAGTCTGGCCTCTGCTTACTCGTCCAGCCTTACTGTTTGCTCCTCTCGCCATGTTATCCCAGAACGTGATGCTTCCAAGTACATCACGTTCCTTCTTACTCACAGGTCATTGCACATAATTTTCCCATCATCCTTCCTCTTGTAGGTTCTAAGCCCCAATCACCCATTTTTCCTGTATTTGATTAGATATCCTTTCTTCTGAAAAAACATCCTGGATTCCCTCTGGACTCCCAGCAAGTGTCACCATCATAGCATAGTCTCAGCATTCTAATTGCCTTAGAAGAGTTCCTTTCCATCACTGGACTGGAAGGAATAAAGGCAGTTGTGGGAAGGGCCCTGTGTCTTATTCATCATTCTATCTTCATACCGTGATCTGGTGTCTAGCATTCAATAATTTTTTTAACTTTTATTTTATGTTCAGGGATACATGAGCAGGTTTGTTACATAGGTAAACTTGTGACATGGGCCTTTGTTGTGCAGATTATTTCGTTGCCCAGGTATGAAGCCTCATACCCATTAGTTATTTTTCCTGATCCTCTCCCTCCTCCCATCCTCCATCCTCCAACAGGCCCCAGGGTATATTGTACACCTCTATGTCCATGTGTTCTCATCATTTAGCTCCCATTTATAAGTGAGAACATGTGGTGTTTGGTTTTCTGTTCCTATATTAGTTTGCTAAGGATAATGGCCTTCAGCTCCATCCATGTCCCTGCAAAGGACATGATCTCATTCTTTTCTATGGCTACATAGCATTTCATGGTGTGTATATGCTGCATTTTCTCTATCCAGTCTGTCATTGCTGGGCATTTAAGTTGATTCTATGTGCTTGCTATTGTGATTCAGTATTTTAAAATTAAGTACTAATTCTCACTTTTAATCTGCCTAATATATGTCAATTTTTCTATCAGCCTTCCTCACAAAATCTGTTGTCAAGGGGAAAAAATGATTCATTCACATCAATGTGTAGGTCAGTGATAATCCTAAATGGCAGCTCTTCCTAGAAGCAGTCACATTTTTACAAAATTTTAAGTCACAGGAATAACTCTCAAATGCAGATAAGCCAATGTGGATGTAAGCCTCGAGAGATATTTGTGAGGGAAGAGGAACTTTTCCCTAACCTTCACATCAGTAACAAGGTGACCAACTCTGCCCTCACCCTCATGGAAGAATGAATCTATGTCTTTATTCATAAAAATCAGGTCACTTATTGGTTTTCTCTGTATTAAATAAACCATTGTTATTTATCCACAGTATAAATGCTTGATTAACTTTTCTGTTTTTTTTTTTTCAGGGAAGCAATGTTATGGAAGATCAGGATTTGTTGGAAATTGGAATCCTTAATTCTGGGCACCGACAAAGAATTCTACAGGCAATCCAGCTCCTTCCAAAGGTAAGCAATGCTTTTATTGCCCTAGTCCTGTGTCAGGTTCCCAGTGATTTTGAGTTCAGGCATGCAAGGAGTATTTGTATTTAGTACAACCTTTCTACAAATCGATGCAACCTCAAGAGCAGGTCTTCTTAGGTCCAACTGCACATTCAGACTACGAGACTACTATGGGCCACACTTGGTTTGAGATTTTTTTTCTTTTTGTTTGAGACAGAGTCTCTCTTTGTCACCCAGGCTGGAGTGCAATGGTGTGATCTAGGCTCTTTGCAACTTCTGCCTCCCGGGTTCAGGTGATTCTCCTGCTTCCGCCTCCTGAGTAGCTGGGATTACGGGCACATGCCACCATACCTGGCTAAATTTTTTGTGTTTTTAGTAGAGATGGGATTTTGCCATGTTGGCAAGGTTGGTCTTGAACTCCTGACTTCAGATGATCTCCCACTTCAGCCTCCCAAACTTCTGGGATTATAGGCATGAGCACTTAGCTTGAGATTTACCTAGAAAAAATGTAATACAGAAAATATTGCTGGCCATTAGGAAAGCTTCAGATTTTCTCTTCAATGAGATTCCTAATATCAGTAAAAGTATTAGCTCTGGCCCCCCAGGTAGCAGCTCAGGTTTAAGAAGACTAGATTCATTGGGTGGGTAGAGGAATGGCCCTAGCTTAAAAGCCTCCTGCCCCATAAGAGGCAAAATCCCCTGTAACAACTCCAAAGACTTAGCCTCCATGGTCCCTACAAGGGACCTGACTAATTACAAGAGTCATTACTCAGGGAAGTCCAAAGTATCACATCCCTATCATGTGTTTATAGTTCATGTATAGGCCCTCCTAGTCCAGATGTAATTTACCAGCCAGGCATCATTTTTACTATAAGCAATGTATTACCTAGCAGTAGAGTTGACCTTCTGTTTCCAGACAAGGTGTCAAAGGAGCCTAAAGAAACAAGAAAAATTTGAGCGTGAATCTTTCAGATATGTGGGATTTTAATTGATAAGTAAACAAAAAGATATTTCAGATCAATGGCCATGGTAACCTGAATGTGCCTGATCTAGTCTGATCTCGGAAGCTAAGCAGGGTCAAGCCTGGTTAGTATTTGGATGGAAAAAGGCATTTCAGGAGGCCCCAGGAACCATATAAAAACAAATATGGTTCAGGCAACAATTTGCTGGAAGTATTAGGGAAATAGAGATTTAAATTCCAATGGGATTTGCACGACAATGCAAATGTAATTAATGCCACTGAACTATACACCTAAAATAATAATAATATTATTAGTGATGATGGTAAGTTTTATGGTATATGTATTTCATAACATATTCATACAATTCAAAAATAATTTTAAAAAGAAGAAAATTCAAGGTGATTAAAACAATTGAGGAGTGTGTAGTCAGAGATAAAACAAAAAAAAGTAGGCTGGGTCAGTGTGTGTCAGGCTGACGAATTTGAAATTTATTCTGTGGGCACTGGAGAATGGACATGACTGGACTACTTTAGGCCAGTTAGTTCTGGAGGCAGTGTACAATTGGGATTAGAAGGAGGGAAAGTTGAAGTTGGGTCAACTGTTTGGAAAAAGACTGTGGGGCAACATTGGAGACAGGTAACAGATGAACTGTAATAGATGCATCTATATTTGACCTTGGCCTAGTTTTTGTACTCTTTTATCCTCTTTTTCTTTCTAGAGAGGCTATACTTTCTCCTTTCCAGAGTGAGAAAAGTAAATACTAATCACTATTTCTAAGGAAATTATCTGATGAAATTTCCCAACTGACAGTGAATTGAATTTCTACTGATAGAAACTTGCTCCTTTTGTAAATTCACTGAGCCAAGTATACAAAGGAGTTTAATCACATAATTTTCTTTTCCACTAAATGGAAAAGAATAAAACATCCTTAGAACAAATTCTGGAAGTAATTCTTATGAGCATATTGTTCACCTCTCTGCTGGTGTAGGTTTACTTAAAATATTACTCTCTCAGCAAGTTTGCTTCTCACTTTCAGCAACGGCTTCTGTACTGCTGTATCTCTAGCACTTAGCACAGTGCCTGGTTCATAAAAATAGATAAGCACTCAATAAATCAATGAATGACTACCTGCTTCATCACATGCTGCCCATCATTTAAAGTTCAACTCAGATATTGTCATATCATGTCACTTCATTTGTGTAATGTCCTTCATCATAGAACCACTTCTTACCATCTAAGTAATATTCAACCTAATCCTCACCAACCACCTCTAGATGGACTACCACAGTGCATTCTCATCTGTCATCCTTGGTTAGATTACATGAATCAAGTTCTCATTGGTCTTCTCTAACCTGGACTATTCACAGATGTCTAACCTCTGTCCAGATTACCTTCTTACCCCTCTATAACTGAATTTCTATACAGTATCTGGAATGATCCTTCTAAAATATAAATCAAATCATGCTATACCCTGCTTCAAATCTGCAGTGAATTTCCTTCTCACTTAGAATAAAGTCTTTATCGTGTGCTGCAAAAGTCCCACTACCTGGAAAGCCTTTCCTTTGGAACTTCATACACTTGCTCCTATACGTTGTCATATCTCTACTCGGATGTGACGTCTTTACAGGGCCTTTGTGAGTTAAAATTCACATTCTTCTTTTACCATTGCTCTCCTTGCTATTGCCCTGCTTTATTTTCCTTCATGCCACTTAGTGCAATCTGAAGTTATATTATTTATTTGTCTTTTTCTTCATTGTTTTCCATTTCACCCTCAGGAAGCAAGGTTCATAAGGTCATTGACTATCTTATTCTCTTTTCTATATACCCAGGCCCTAGAATCACACCTGCCACACAGTAGGCACTCAAGAAATGTTTGTGGTATGAGAGAATACACTGACCTTCCCTTTCCTCTGAGATCGTGTGGCCCTATGCTTCTTCCCATCTGAAGGCACTAATAACATTCAGTCACTTCTATGTTACAAACATCCTGAGGGCAGAGACAGTGCAACATCCTTGAATTTCCCATGATGCTTAACCCAATACATGGACATTCTTTTTAGGAATGAATGAGTGGGGGCCAGGCACAGAAGCTCACACCTGTAATCCCAGCACTTTGGGAGTCCGAGACAAGTGAATCATCTGAGGTCAGGAGTTCAGGACTGGCCTGGACAACATGCCGAAACCCTGTCTCTACTAAAAATATTAAAAAATTAGCCGAGTGTGTTGGTGGGTGCCTGTAATCCCAGCTACTTAGGAGGCTGAGGCAGCACAATTGATTGAATCCAGGAGATGGAGGTTGCAGCGAGACAATACGGTGCCACTGCCCTGCAGCCTGGGAACAACAGAATGAGACTTCATCTCAAAAAAAAAAAAAAAAAAAAGAATGAATGAGTGAGTGAATGAGTGAATAAATATTTTCCTCACATGTCTTTCAAATGTATATTTTTACAAGAGCGCCTCAATTTTAAGATATATCTATAATCCTGTATATACAACTTGATAATAAAAAACAAGAGAAACTGAACCTAGAATTATTTGGAGAATAAATGAAGTGTTTGTTTCTAAGACAGAATACCATTCTCATTAGAGAAAATAATATAATAGAAACAATACAAAATTAAGCTTCTATTGAGAGACTGATGCAGCAGAGCTTACTATGCACACAAATTAGTAGAGAGTATATAAAAACATCCAGACGCACATTCAGCAGCACAAACAGAATGTTATAATGCCACAAATTGATGCTTTGCCTTCTTAGGTAATGAGCACAATCTTCAGATGGTTAATGGTGTCATTTTATTGCCAGCTCATTCATCTGCATTCACTTTTACTTTGCATTAATGGACAAAATGTCTCTTCATTTTGTTTATACAATTTCAGTCTTCAGAATATTTGTATTCTTCGTCTGTCTTGAGAAGAAATATTCCATGATTGCTCCTGGGATCCTTTAATTAACATTTTATGTTATGGAATTAGTGAGATTGTTCCTAAACAGAGAAAAGGTGCTTTGCTCAGTACAATCTTGACGTGTTGGCATACTTCAAAGCATATTTTTCATGCTTTATTTGTATTTGTTGTGTCAAGCTTCAAAGAAAAAAGTTTACTCCTTTAGTAAGAATAGCTATTCTGTAATATGTCTTTTTTAATACTGAAATATTCACCAATGCAAAGATTTACATCTTCTCCAGTACATTCAATACATTCAACAACACGTAGAATACACCTTTCTCTCCTTCTTTTGCAATGCTTAACCCTTTGTAAAGCTTAATTATTCATTTTCCACCCGGCATCTACTTCCCTCACCAACCCCAGCTCGGTCTTTTCTCAGCTCTAAAAGCTTTCCTAGACTTCTTGAAGACCAAGTTTTACCTTTTTCCCTTTTTATGAAAGGAAACAAACCCAAAGTTTCATGAGAAAATGGCTTTTTTTTTCTACTTTCCTAGAAATGTTAGGCTTATTGTGGTTTTTCTGTCTCTCTGGCCACAGGAAAATTACCTGATTTCTTATTTTCAACATATAGCTTAGTTTTTTCCAGATAAGAATTGTATGTGGCCAAGTCTTTAGATAATCCTCTAATACATTTTCCTTTTTAAAGGGGCATAAACAGTTTTGTCCTTTGATAATATAACACCTGAAGGTCAGGCATTCAAAGGATTTTCATTTTAAAGGTTTGGAGGACTTTACATCTGTTCTCTTTGTATCCCTCATCCTGTTTGGCAGAATATTTCAGCACATAAGCAACTTTTATATTGTATGCTCACTCTGTTTTTCAATATTTCCTCTTCTGATGTTTTCCAGTTTTATAGTAGCTTTTGGAATTACTTAGTAGTTATCTATACTCACTGTCTCCCCCTTTCCTTTGCTCCACTCATCCCTCAACTGGCTTGAGCCGTTTCTCTGCTGCTACCCCATACAACCAGTGCTAAGGTCACCATTAAGCGGAAGAGCAGAAATTCCATAAGCCCTTTGTTGTCTCCACCTTACTTAGACTTCAGCAGACTTTGATACTATTGACAATTATTGTTATCGACCACACTGTGTTCA